AAATATATTTTCGGAAATGCAAAACTGTTTTAACAAAAATAAGACCGGAATGAATAGTATAAATAAGAGTCCTTGAAAGTCATTTTAGTTAGTATTTTGAACTTTTGGTATTTTCAGAGATCATTAATCTGTAAAAAAGCTGATGCTCCAATTAAGCTACTCGCAAAACCAGATCTGAAAAGCAGCTGGAAATAATTTTAATAAATAATTATTTTAAGAAATGAATCTAGTTGATAAAATATTATTGCTTTTACTCAAATATATTATATGTTAAGTAGTCATTCACAAGTTTAGGACTTACTAAAGTTTCCCGGGTTTCCGAATCAAACATCAAAAAATTTCGTTTCTTCCGTTAGCTACGTAATAACATTAATCTAGAGGAAAATGGTTAACTCCAACGAGCTGAAAAGTAGATTGATTGAAGACTAAAAAAGTATTTGCATCAGGCTAATAAACTGTCTCTTCGTAAAATGAAAGCTTGCATCTGATGTTAAAGTGTTATTTCCTCTACACATTTGCCAGTAAAGATTGGATTCCGCTCAATACACTTATTGGACATTGACAATCTGAAACAACGGTTCTAAATGTCTGTAAAAACAATTATTTGAATGGAACATCATAATCTTTTTRGTCATATWAATTTTTCATTTACGCYCCCTTTAAGTATATGTTWCTTTTTGTGCAAACATTCAGTGAATTAAGACCGTTTTATTTTCTTTAAKRTAAACCCATTTACTGATGAAAAGGATTTACGTTTTAATTCCYGCCGAATATTTAAAAGCAGTAACTTTTTTTTTCCTTTTGAGTTCTGTATATTTCCAGTGTCGCTCATATTATGAGTAGTTTAAAGCACTTTCACGYCTCTTAAAACGTACTGTGCGCTTTCCATGTATTCTGTGCGGAATGTAGATTGCTWGATGTTTAGAAATTGGTCTGTAATATACACCCGACAGTTYGTTTCACTARTAACTAAAAGTCTSCTTACATGGTTTTAAATGTTGTGTATGATACGATTTTTATATACTAGTATTTTAGTCTCACGATGTCAAATTAGGMCTAATCGTGTAAGACAGAAGTTCTAACAAATATATTACAAAAAAAACACAAAKATTTAATGAAAAACACATACGAAAGTAACAAGTCAAATAAAGGAATTGAAATATTTTGTCTGACACCAAATGATAGTGATTTAAAATCTCTAAGGATTACGGCAATTAATGTCTTAGACAAGAATAAAAAACAGAACTTGTGATTGCTGTTGGAGTTATTACTCAACAAATATGATACTATTTTTCTTAGTTAATGTATTTGCAATTATTTACCTTCCATATGCGTAGGGTGTTAATACTTATTATTATGTTTATTTTTGCTTTCCGTTTGCATACAAATTAGCGACGGGAAGAAATTTCGTTTAAAGCTGTTGTTCTGAAGTTGTGAAGAATTTTGGTTGCTTTTATAGAGCAAAGTACACGTTTCCACGGCACTTTTATGTGAAAATGACAGGGTAAACTTGGTAGAAGATGTCACGAGCAACATTTTGTAGTATTAAATGCCAACATTTCAATTTTGATGAAATTTAACCCATTTACTAGTCAAAAGTCCTAAATGAATGAAATCACATGATATGTTAAATGACGTCCTGCAAGTTTATTCCAAATTCGGATTTGTTGGTCCATTCGCTGTATGTTGTAAAAGTGTTTGCAACTTTTCTACAGATGTCTGATTAACAAGCTTTTACACAATAAAATCTAGCGGATATCAGTCAGCAGATCTTGGTGGCTCTGGTCGGAATCACCTTGATTTCAATCCGTTCATGACTGGAGCCACATTTTGCTTCTCAAATTCAAAGCTAATAGTGTTTGGGACATTATATTTATTAAATATATATTTTATATTCATTTTATTAGGCCAAAGGCTAATAATCGGAAAAATTACCATTTTTTTAAATTAATAATATTCCATTAGAAACCCTTGAAGAAACTAAAATTATCATATAATTAGGAACATTATACACATATTAAGAACATTTTATTTACTTGAATATTGACTGGAGACATTCCTGCGAACAATGCACCAAATTAGACATCACGAATAGATGTATGAACATAGGAGTGACTTCAATTTCCTAATAAATTTTTATTTTGAGACCATTTAAAGTTCGTGGATTGTCCATGTAGATTGCAGCCATTAAAAAAACATACGGAAAAAATTCTTGGGCAGTAATATCGGGAAACCTTTCGGACTTCATCAAATCAAATCGCCGAACTTTCAAAGGTTGTGAAAACTTTTGAAAAACAACTTCAGTCCAGTTGTTTCATTCTGCACAAAGAGAATTAAATTTTCTCTCTTCATCTGCAAGCTTCATCTGAGGCAAGAAGAAAATTGACGGCATATTGAGGTACTTTTGCAAGTAACGATCAACGGTGAGTCATTTTTTTCGAATAAAAATGATAATCCCGGAGAACAAACTTGCACACAATCCATCTAACCAAACGCTTCTTCTTTTGATTGAAACGGATTTTATAGCACACAGATTTTGTAGCACCCTGCAGTTCAACTTTCTAATATTTTGGTTCAAGCAAAAGTGAGGTCTTTTAAAAGGTTTTTCAGGAAACTGGTTGCTGGACTGAACTTCCAAAAATGTTCAGCACCATAAGTACCATGTTCTTTTGTCCCGTCTTCTATTTTTATAACTATTATCAACAAATAACATGTATTCACATGCCCCTTGGTACATTAAGCAAATATCTATTTCATATTTTTTGAAGTAACATTTTTTAAATTTTATTTGCTGATTAAAATTAGGCTTCAAATAGGAGATATAAATGAAAGTGCGTTGAACTCATTAAATATCGAAATACGCCGAAAATCGGCGATTACGCCATGTAAAAGAATAGCCAGACAGAAACGTATATTGAACTAGCAACATTGGTTCAAAAATAATTTTAAATAGATTAAGCCATTAAATCAGGTAGCTACCAAACTAAGTCCAATCAGACATTTGTTTATAAAGTAAAAAATTACATATAGAATTATAAACTATTTTATGAAATTGCATCAGTCTGTACTAGTTTTTTAAAGTTTTTGGGCGTTTATTAAAAACTTAAATTTTACTATTTTTGTATTATCAATTTGTCTTAGACCACTCCTTCATCAGTTCAACTGTCTACTACAAGCGCAAAAGATCAATTATACACACATTGGTGTAAATAAATAACTATTACTTTCAATTCGATAATTTCCTTCACATTTACTAGTCCACTAAACCTCATTTGGAACAGTTTCAACTGCGGCATTACACGGTAGCAGTTACATTACACCAGAGAAGCACCATTTTAACATAATACGATAACTAAGCGGCCGAAGTTAAATGAAAATGAGTCTCGGTGAAGTTATTATTACTACGTTCCAAGATTATGCAAGAACCAGTAACGTTAAGCCGACCCATGAAACTTTGAATGCGATCCCACCAAATTGTCTTCAAGCAACTTTATAAGCGAATATATGTGACCTGAAAATGCATTAGATATCAAGAAGTGAAAATGTTATCGTTAGATTTGCATATATCGAACCCAGTCACATAAAGTTTTTCGGAGAGCATACTTATCTGGACTTATTTTAGAAGCTCTTTGGCGTTAAAAAGCAAAATTAGCCTGAAAACATGTGCTACCACAAACTTGTAACGAGTTAGTAAAATTGAAACCGTTTGATGATATTTTAAAGTTGGCAAGTAGCGAGACGCCGAAGAAGTAACTATTTCAAATTTCTCCTGGGCATAGATTGGGGTTTAAAGAAATTTTACTAATTTAAGAAATAATTTAATCTAAATCAATCTGGCCAGGATAAGCATGGGATGTAGATAATGGGATTAGGCACCGACTATACCTGCTAATGGTACGGCCATATTAAATATACACATAGGAGCTCGGTAAAAATTCGAAATAATTTCACATTTGAGAACTTGTTTTTCAATTGTCTATTTAGTTCCCAATTATTGACTTGTTAAAGATTTATAACCAGCCGGTTACCAACTTTTTAAACCGCTAGGTATCGCTTCACTAGAAGATTACAAGATAAAAATATCGTTGAATGCAATTAAATTCTATTAAAGTTCAAGTTTTTTCAGTTGCGATTATAATGCGAATCAATAAAACTAAATATTGATTTACGTCATTGAAGACTAGTGGTTCAACTCGTATTAACCTAGTTTCTGTGATATTAAATTGTTTAGGATTTGGCGGTCTTTAGAGAGCGAAATAGTGCGGGAGCCTAAAACATTAAAGATAGCCCTCAAGACTCTCTTGTGCACTAGCAAAATGTTGACTATTTCTAGCTAGAAGTTGTATGTAAATGTATTTTTTCAGCCACAGTATAAGGACATAAATATAGATTAAAATAGGTACAAAATCAAAATCCGAATACCCGAAAATGTTATATCTTGACGAAACGAAACACGTTTTAGTTCTACAACAAGATTGCTATTCTCAGCCTAGAATTGGACACATACTGATTTTTTTATTATAGACAGATTCTAATTTCAATCTGCACTGATACGCTAGGAAAGAGGACTCAATCGTATCTAAATTTTAAGTCCATTTCTACAACTTTGTGCCCTGAATGCTGTTGAGAATGACTATAACGAAATAGATGGAGAAATATAGACACTGACTTCTAGACGGCGCTTTCTTTTTATTTTTTCAGAGGTTTTCAGCTTGCAATTTTAAAAACATATTTGTGTTTCGAGTCTGTCCATCTCTATTTGAACATCGTATCCATAAAACGCTAAACCGAGCATAGTAAATGCAATCCAAAAGATTTGCGTAACTAGAGACAACTTAGAACCTTTTCCCTTTGTCTGCAAACTGGATTTGAAATTGCAATAAAAAAATGTTTAATTGTGTTTTAGCCGCTGCGTTACACTTCATATTTCTAACTGAGTGGCTATTAAAACTCTGACTGCTAAATGCCTTTAACTTTACACGAGCTCTGCTTTGTTTTAGGGCACAGAGCCCGGCTCATTTATCACGATGGGAGCAAGTTCAGAAGGAAGTGGCAGCAACAGGCACTTATCAGCTGACGGAAACCGAGCTCATTTACGGCGCCAAATTAGCATGGAGAAATTCAGCCCGATGCATTGGTCGAATTCAGTGGTCCAAGTTGCAGGTAGGAATTTCTAATCTAACAAAAGTTGTAGGATTGAAAACTTAATATATGTATATCTTTTGCCAACGAATTAATAAGTGGAAGAAATATGAATGCTAATAGTTTCTAGGCCTTGCAATCAGATTCTTTGAAGTCCAGTTATTCTTATTTCAATTAGTTCATTCGATGCTTTAGAGTTCAAACTTGACTTTGATTTCTTGCAAGTTTTCTATTTGCTATTTAAAACGCAATTAAGTCAATAGATAAAATCAAGCTCTTTGAAGGCTGCGCCTGCTAGGATTTATTGCAAATTTAGCTCTTACATGGAACTCTTGTGGTTTTAGTTTGAATGATGCGCTTAAAGCAACAGTTTTTATGTTGTTATTGCCTACTTCATGGGTCATTAGACTAATCAAAATATTTACGCTGTTCTTGAGTGACCAGTAGTATGTTTAGTTTTATGCGGTAGTAGTTAAATTTGAATTGCAGCAAAATAATATATTTTGCAAGAATGTTGCTCAATTTTCAACCTCTATATCTATATCAAGCTTGGGAGTATTCTAGAATGGTTTGAAAAAAATTCGAAAAGTTCTTTTAAATCATCCAACCCTGTCGATATATGATTATTAAAAATTAAATTAATTATTCGACTAATTCTTCGCTGTTAATGTTCCTCTTATGGTATAATCTACAGAATTAAGACTCAGGCTGTTAAGTGAGCATTTCGACTATTCGACCGATTATTTACGTGCAATTTACTTGGAAGGATTTAACAGTGCTGTCTAATGAAAGTGAGGGAGATTTCCACTTTATGCAGTATAAAATTGACTTAAATATGTAGCTTGGAATTTATGAATGTCAATATGCTTTTGAGATCTAGAGAGAGTACTAACAATTCTTGTGGTTTTGCGCAACATGGAAAATTACAATCAAGTTTTTAGCAAAAAAAACCGCAATAGACTATTTTGGATTTTTTTAAATTCAAAAACGCATACACATTCCTGGCTATGTATCAACATTGTCTAATATTTCTATGTCAAATTTTCCAAGAAAGTTGTTAGCCACAAATATCTATCTCGTAAGTTGTAATACCTAAATCTAAATTTTCAAATGTTTTGGACAGCGTGGGTTTCAGTTCTAAACTACACCGACGTTTTTTAACTAAGGTTGAAAATAAAAATGTATTGGTTTTTTCAAATTTCTTCCAGAAACTGGAGTGGTTATAATACTAAAAGTACTATAACGCACTTTTTACCTAAATATTTTATTAATTATACTACAACTGTACTTAATATTTTACTCTATAAGACGATAGCTTTAACTAAGTCAAAGATTCAAGAGCTAAAAACGAACACACCGACGCAATCGGTCTTTCTGCCCTTATGTGCATGTGGCTCTGTTGAAGTTATGCAAGAAGCATGTATAATTTGCCCTTACATTTTCAGTCTTAGTATTATTGCTATTCTAGTTCATTTTTTTCAGTTCGAGTGTATTTGTAAGTGTTCTATTACATTTTTTGTGGAAGCGAGTGTGACTGTTTTGTCTTATAAAGAAGATGGGGCTCAATATAGTTCAGCTATGGGAAAAGTTAATTAATTTTGCTTATGGTTGGCGCAGTATTTCGGTTATCTTTAACATGTTTGTTCGGTCGTACAATCGTTGGTCTCACGAATTTTCCAATAGATTTTACGTATGTCGTATTCTTGTTATCAGTCTTAATGAAATATATTATGCTATTTGCGTGTTTCATTGATTTTTTAGCGTTATTAGGTGCATTTGTTTGCAGTATGTGCTCCAAGTCCAGCACAGATCTACGTATTGCCTTGTATATTTTGTTTACAGTTTTGGGTCTGATTCCGTTGTCTTTTCACGTTGAATTCTGTTCCGATATTTCGTATGCGCTTAGTTAGTTTAAGTTTTTGTCCACAATAAATTCTTGATTGATATTTGGCATCGGTTCTTTGGTTTAGTTATGCGACTTTCAGCTATAATGGCTTGATAATATGTCTTGATTTTGTGGTTTGAAAGGAGAAGTTGGTATGTTGTTGGATTTCGTGATAAACTTAATTTATAGAACCATACCTTTGTAAATTTCGTTACCCTCTGAAACTTGGTCATTACTTGTTCTGCATTTGTATCATGTACAATAAGCGCAGTGTCATCAGCAAATATAAGGAAATCATCAATTCATTATTACAGTTGTCTGTTTCTCAGCAAGTTTTTAATAATATAAATTAAGAATTTTGTTGTCTGGTGTAATGCGAACAATTCGCATAACAATTTTCTGTGTCATCCTCTAGCAAACCCCTTGTTAATGCCCATGAGTAAATTTGCAGATTTTCCGCCGTTTAGATATTTTATTTGTTACGACAAATAATAAATGTTGAGTCGAGTTTTCGGCCTAAAGCCGAATTTGTCGGATGGTATATCTAAGTTTCTTCGGTTTTGCAGCCTGTTTTTACAATATGTTCAAAATCTTTCTTAAGCTCCTACAGCAACGTGATCGGTCTGTAGTTTGCTTCTGTGTTACTTTGATAGAGGATTCAAGTAGTTATCGACGTATTTCTTTAGCACACTACAAGTGATGCTTGCAACTATTTGCTTGCCTGCGTGGTTAGATTATCCTCTTGATATTTCCGTTTGTGCGAAGAAGTAGATGTGTATGTATTTCTTAGTGATTATTTTTCCGATTATATTGGTGATATAGTGTCATGTGTTCGCTTAATACAGTTTGGCAAATATGTGACATATCCCATCTTAGGAAAGCCAATTTACCTTATTTTAGTTAAATTGTGTGGTTTTTCAATCCCGGCTCAACACCTCGGTGCGGGAAAAAAATTCGGGATTGTTGCGTTTTACGATTAGCTACACTATAAAAAAATTGGTCTAACCTGCTCAAAAATCAAAACAAAAATATTAAACTAATTAAAGTCAACTTAGTGTACGGTTTCAAATAACCACTATGCTTTCTTAGAGCACGTCTCATAAGGCAAATATATTTCCTGGAATTAAAATTTACATCAACGCATACTTTAAATTGTGGTTGCGTTACGCAGAATGTGTGACTGATAATTAAACTTCTGAACTTTTCTGACCCCAAATCCGTGTGAACGCATATTCTCAAATGGCTCAAAATGTACTCACATTTAGGTTCATATTTTGCAAATAAAACAATGAAATAAACGCTGGAGGCTTCAACAAATACTTTCCCATTGAGTATGTTCGGTGAAAATTGTTTTATGGCAAACATGGAATTGTTTCATAGGCGCTCACGCATATTTTCACTATTTAAACCCCTATATAAAAGCCGCCCTCTAAACATATCCTGATGTAAGTCTTTTCCGCAATGTAAATAAAATAAAAGTTCTCAATTTTCCACTTTGCTATATAATATAAACTCCAATGCAATGTTGGTTTTTCCTTAAACCAAGGGCGAATTCTTAGTATCTTCTAAATCAAAAAAGTAACTTTTATTTGGGCACAGCAACAAATATACAACATATACAACGTTCTGTAGGCGTTAGAAGCAAGTATTTAGGGCGGTGGTCAGGACTGTTTTTACGAGGGATTTAAAATAACATACGTCGGGGCATTTATTTGAGAAATGTGTTTTTATCCAAAACACATTTACTTCAGAATTAACCAAAAGTATTTATGTAGCTAATAAAGTTTGTCTATAGATGTTTGCTTAATTTTGCTTCCACTGTTCTTCAGATGCCATATTTAGCTATTTCAAGTAAGGAGGAAAATTACTATTTTCCCAAGCTAGGCTATTTACTGTTGCTCGAAATTGCCACTAACTGAAATCCAAATCTGCAATAAAAACGCTGGTGGAATAAATGGATTTGCTACGCTTCTGGAGAACAAATTACACTTTTTCCAACATTTGATTGCTGGACGATTGAAATATACTGCACATCGTCCCGATTTATTAACTGCTTTTGGCGCTTCAAGCGCTGCATTACTTTTATGAGCAATTTATAAGGCAACCTTTTGCCTATCAATCATGCCATGCCTCTAGTAACAGGTTAAAATGATTTGCAGAACATGTAGTCAAATAGCGGAATAATTCCGTTACATGAATTGGCAATCATAACAAATTCATCTGATATTTCTAATCATTGAAACTCTACAAGCGAGCCCAACGAGACATTCATTTAATGGTTGAAATCACTTTTAATTATTCCTCTTTGCTTTACGTTTCGGTCGAAACTGAATCCCTCCCACCAGTATAATTAACCGAATATTTGCAAAAATATCCTGCAAATGTTAAGCAAGTCGTATAAAATCCATCCGCCCAAGAAAATAAAGTTAATTGCTTTATAGTAAGTGAGTGGAACTTGAAAGTTAAGGAACTGCTAAACTATATAACGTTAGTTTCCGCAATTCAATTATTTTTTAAATTGAATAAGCCTGAATAACTTGCCGCAAAGTGTAAAACAATTAGAAACATTTTGGAAATACGAATAATTTGAGCTACGCCAATTGATGCAGATGACAAGTAAAAGATATAAATTCCTACAATTTACTGCAGATTATCAAAACAATCCCAGCTAAACAATCCTCGACGAAGATATTGGCAAATATATAAACAGAATCTTTATAGAAATCGCTCAATTGAGTCACGCTATCTGTAGCTCATCTTCTAAGATTATCGTCTGATACTACACCATCAGATGTTTCGTTAAATTGAATATCCGAGGAAATTGGACTCATTGATTTCGCTTTTTTGCGAATCGGAGTTAGCTGAGGACTGAAATTACTTTGCATTAAGATCATTTATCTGGTTTATTGTCTTTGCTGCTACAAAATTTTGAAATGGGCTGGAATGAATAAATGAATATCGACCTTAAAACCCACGTAATTAAGAGTGATATTATACTAATATGTTAATAGTTGTAACTTGTTAAGAACAACATATTTTTATTTGCAACGGAATGGGGATAGAGCGCGACGGTGTTAAGGCTTTTATTAAAAATTCAAATATTGTTTTTAATTGATTACGGTTAGTTTTTATATTT